TATTTTTTTAAATTCATTGTTTTTATTTAATAAAATTTCTTCCTCTATGTTCAGAAGTTAAACTGTCTGCATATTACTTTTATTTATACTGTATCTTTTTCAACTTGGCTTTTTAAAAAATATTAGTATGAAGTTAACATCAAGTCCTCCTATGGTCTAATACCACAATTCTAAAGTATCAGATACAGCTAATTATGGTGTTCCTGAGTAGTTTAAGAAGTGTGCAAAGAGAATCAACTAAAATTTTTATTGCTAAATCCTGGTTTCTTTCAATATAGAAAAATTGTTGGAAAAGTACTCTCTCATGGTAAACACTGGCAGCAACAAACTAATTGGGTTTCCTGATAATATAAAAATCCTGAGATAGTATTCAGCTCTCTTGAAGGTTTAATTGATTGCTTAGAATAACTAACATACTTGACAACTCAGAGAAGTAGTTTTCTTACCAGTATAATTCATTTTCACATAGAAGGGGGTATTTTCAGTTTTAGAGTTTAATAAGTATCAAAAATTAGAGCTTATTGAGTCTGGTTCTGCAAGAATAGGACAGTTTCACTTCTTTAGGTTATTTCAGACTATTGCACAAAGGGCTGTCTGTGGGGTTAGCACTCCAAAACCGAAGTAGGCGTGACTCTTTGCTATCCCCACAGATTCACATCTCTTTTGGAACAGCCTCTACTATCTACTATCTGTATCTACTGTTGAATTGTAACTTTGTTTTAAAGTCTTCAGACTATAAAATAAATGGGGAAAGTTTTCCGATAGAGACAGGTGATTGGAAAAATATTTTGGGCTAGGACACTTTCAAATCATTATAATGGCAGTACTTATGGAAATTTTAAATAGCTACTTTGTGTCCAGTTTGTTCATAGCTTCTCCAATGATAGGCTGCTACTTACTCCAGCTTCTACCACCTCCTCAAAACAATCCACAGTCCCCAGTTAAGATGTGCCTGGGTGGGGGTTGAGAGCATTCCAGGAAAATCCACAAGTTTGCTTTTTTCTAGTAATAATGAAAAAAATATTAAAATATTCCTTAGCAAGTCTCTGTAGGGCAGGCCTTACTGTCCATGCACATAGTTCTAGACCACATCTTGTCCATCTTTGTATCCCATACAAATCTTCTGAAATATCAATTTGTTTCAGCCTTTGATTTCCACAACGTCATTTAGTAGAGAAATACGAGAGGTAGTTAGAGGATCTTCCTCTTCTACAGGGAGAAAAAGAAGTTTATTATTTGCAATTCTTTGATTAAATACTGTGCCTCTTGTTGCTTTTCATAAACACCAAGGTAGTGCCTTACCACTATGTTCTAGGTCCTTTTCTGATGCTGGGGATAAGTTAGAGAAAATGGGACACATGTCAAAGCTCTTATTTTTTTCCCACCATTAAATCTTTGTGGAACTTTTAGCTTTGAAGAATATTTTACACTCTTGCATTTACAATCTGCCAAACAAATTTTACTTTAGAAAATCAGTAATAATTTCTATGTAAATAACAGGACTAGTGAACACTGTTTCAAATGAATGCTAACAGTCAAGTTTTAAAAATAAATTATAAAAGTACCATAAGGAATTTTTTTTAAATTACCAATAATGTAACCTCCAGTTAGAAAAATAAACCAATCTTTTGTGTATTTTTCACATATATAAGATTATCCTACATATATAATTTTATATCTTCTTTTTTTACTTAATATCCAGAACATTTTTGTGTGTGATTAAAAAATCTTATAAACAATTTTATGGCTGCATAATATTTTGTCATATGGATATACTATGTTTTATGTAATCACTTTCTTATTGTTGAAAATTTAAGCCATTTCCTTTTTGTTGTTACTATCATAAGTAATGGGAACTCTGATGGCTTAGTACCTAAGGCATTTGACTGCTAACGTGAAGGCTGGTGGTTCAAATCCACCAGCCACTCCTCAGAAGGAAGACTAGGCAATCTACTTCCATGGAGACACTGCCTCCAAAATCCAAAGAGGGGTCACTATGTGTTGGGACCGACTTGATGGCAGTGAGATCATATGTAGTATTATCTTCATGTCTTATTATTTTCTTAGGATGAACCCACAACAAGTAATAGTAAATGAAGGGTATGATCATTTTTAAGGTCAAAAATAAATATTGTCACATTACCCTCCAGGAAGACTTTATTAATTTATATTCCCACTAGTTGCTGTACCCTTGCTGGCACTAATGAATATTATTTGATCAAAAATTTGTTGTTTTGATAAATTTTAATGGACTATGCTTTTAATTAATTCTGAGCCACAGTCATCAAAGAGAAAAAGAGTAAGATTAAAAAAAAAATTACATAGTTTTAGACCTCACCGTGTCCAAATAAGGCAAGAGTAAAAATTCCAAGAATGATCAGTGTGTAATAAGTTCTAGGATTGCAAAATTTTATTTCATATAAAATCAAAATGAAAATATTGTCCTTTTGGAAAAAAGTTCAGATGCCATTTAAAGTATAAAACATCAATTTACTAGGTGAAAAGTTAAAGCAGAAAAAAATGGAGAGTGTTAAGGAAAATGCAGATATAATTGCTACGTCGTTTCAGAAAGCTGTTAAAAATGAATTGATGGTTAAACTATAAGATTTGTTTGTAGTAATTGTACAGAGAGATGGTACATAGTATTCAAAAGAGCCTCTCCCTTTTGATGCTCTAATTTGACTGAGTACTCAGGCCTGCTTGCTTTTTCTGTAATCTTTGCTTGAGGTAGGTGTGTGAATACAAGAGATCTGGAAAGTTTATGCTTCTCACAGTTCTGTTTTCAGTTATAGCTGGGGTCCTGTGTCTAAGTCTCATCATATCATCAGTTCTACAGAGAATTTGTATTGCTATCCAGCACACTAATTCCCTCTTCTCTCTTTTTTAATAAATGCTGTTGTCTTTGAGTTTGCTTTGACTCATGGGGACCTCATAAACAACAGAACAAAGCTTTCCTGGTCCTGTGCCATGTTCATGATCATTGGTATGCAGCTACCAACCCAGGGCGCTCCCAACCCAAGGGGCTCATCTTCCAGCACTACATTGGACAATATTCTGTTATGATCCATAAGGTTTTCATTGGCTTATTTTCAGAAGTATATTGTCAGGCCTTTCTTCCTACTCTGTCTGCATCTGGAAGCTCTGCTGAAACCCGTGCACCCTGGGTGACCCTGCTGGTATTTTCCATCTCAGTGGCATGGCTTCCAGCATCAAAGCAACATGCGAGCCACCCCAGTACAATAACTGACAGGTTATTTAACTACATAAAAGGTAAGAATGTCCAAGAGATCTGTATTTGCAATTGAAAGAAACATCTATAGTTTTTGTCTTTAATCTTTGTTTTACTAATACTTTCTAAAACGTTTCCTATTTCAAGACGTTTTTAACTTCTTTAATGGAAAAGAGGATGATGGTAATTGTAGGTTAACCATTGAGACTGGTAAATGTGATTTAAAAATTAGAAATTATATACACAACTAGATATAATAGTCTTAAACCTTCACTGAATGACTTTGTAGGATTTTGTCAACATTGCCTTTTCCTCGCAAGATAACTTTCATGTTTCTCAAACTTTTCTTCAGTACACAACTTTTATATGACTTTACCTTACTAGCCTGCTTCAAAGAATGGTTCCTCCCGGCAAACTCCACCCCCCCCCCATTTCCTAACCTCAGGGAAAAAAGCATGACACACCAAATTTATCCTATCCACCTGCAGAGACTATTTCTTGCCTGTACCCCTTCTCTTCTAGTGACACTAATCTTCCCTAGGGAACTTGTAGTTCTCCCTAGCACTCGCTAGTCTCATTTTCGCCCATGCTACAACCTTTGCCAAGAATACCTCTCTTCCCCTTTGCTGGCTCAAACATGTCATCTCTTTTAGGAAGCGTTCACACCCACACACTGTGCCCTCAGTCTGGATGTGGCCCTCTTCTGCGTTCTTAGAGTATCTTTCAGCACTTCTCCTGAATTGTTTATTTCTTTATTAGACTCAACCTCTTAAATATCCTTAAGACCATCTGTCTTTGTACATTCAGTGCCTAGCGCAGCAGCCTGGTTCTACCTACCTCTATTATTTGTTGGCAGATAGTACTTTCAGACTGTTGTCATATTCTTCTTGAACATGAGAGAATGAATCTACCTTTTTTCATCGAGGGTTTATGCCTCTAGTAACTTCATTACAGCTAAAGAAAGGAATCTTACTGAGATAACTCGGTCATAAACACGATCGCATGTGTGTATAGGAGAGAATCATGTAGATAGTTAATGGCACTTCCACGTGCGGGTTTTAATTTATCTTCCCGTGAAGAGCTCAAGGCAGTGGATAAAGGACTGGAAACTGAAAATAAGGAAAACAGTAAGGAGAATAGGGAGATGAAACTAGGAAGCTGAAAATGGCAGGACAAATAGGAAAAAATGAAAAGTCAGGTGCAGAAAGTTCAAATGCAGACTCCTGGGAGGCCGAGCTGCAGCCATTCCCTTGTCTTCGATCCCGCAAGCCCCCTTTCAATCGACCGCCTACACCCACTGAGACGCTGCGAAGCACGTTATATAAAATTTCAGGAGGTCCACCATCGTTCAAGGAACGGTTCAAAGAAAAAGGTTTCTTTTTGTATGCACCTGGACACGCTAATGCCCCTCCCCTCATCTTGGATAGTCCAGGCGAAAGAAAGAGGCCGGTTCTGGCCCTCTGGTCTCAGAGCTCAGAATAAAACCCCGCCGCCGCTTGATACTTCAGCAGCTAAGACTTCCCGCACCAAACTGCTTTAGCAACAAGCGAAGAGCACAAAAGCCGGTACAAGAGCCTGGTCCCCGAGCCATCGCCTGGTCCCCCTCACCCCGCTCTTCTTCTTCGCGCCACGCCCCAAACCTTTCCCTACCCAATTGGAGTTCCTCGATGTTCATTGGCCGCGTGCCCTGCCAATCTCATGGGCGTTGACGAATCCCGCCTGAAGAAAAGCAAAGATCGCGAAAAACCGCGCTTGCCTGGCTCCGGGGGCGCGAGCCTAACGTCCCCGAGTGGCAGGAGGTGCGCGAGGTGCTCATTTGCATAACGGCCGCCCCTAGCTTTCCTCGCGCCGGCCGCCCAACTTGAAATCTGTTGGGCCACAGGCCAGTCACTCCGACCCAGGCAAGCCTGTGGCGGGGCAGGAAGAGTTTGTGCGGGCGGTCCCGAGAGAGGATTGGCTCTGGGAGTTTCCAGAAGGCGGCAGGGAGGCGGCTATAAGAGCGAGGAGCCCAGCGGGGGTAGCGTGAATACGCTGGTCGCGTTCGCGGTGTCTGGTGTGCAGCGGCCGTTAGTTGACACTGCAGCTCTTCCTCGCCCTAGCTTTCTCCTGTAACTTCGCCTGCCTGCCTTTCAGTCAAGATGTCTGCCCGCGGCCCGGCTATTGGCATCGACCTGGGCACCACCTACTCGTGCGTGGGGGTCTTCCAACACGGCAAAGTCGAGATCATTGCCAACGACCAGGGCAACCGCACCACCCCTAGCTACGTGGCCTTCACTGACACTGAGCGCCTCATTGGCGACGCCGCCAAGAACCAGGTGGCCATGAACCCCACCAACACCATCTTCGACGCCAAAAGGCTGATCGGGCGCAAGTTCGAGGACGCCACTGTGCAGTCGGACATGAAACACTGGCCGTTCCGGGTGGTTAGTGAGGGAGGGAAGCCCAAAGTGCAGGTGGAGTACAAGGGCGAAATGAAGACCTTCTTCCCGGAGGAGATCTCCTCCATGGTCCTCACAAAGATGAAGGAAATCGCTGAAGCCTACTTGGGGGGCAAGGTGCAGAGTGCAGTCATTACCGTGCCGGCCTATTTCAATGACTCGCAGCGCCAGGCCACCAAGGACGCTGGCACCATCACGGGCCTCAATGTGCTGCGCATCATCAACGAGCCCACGGCGGCGGCCATCGCCTACGGCCTGGACAAGAAGGGCTGCGCGGGCGGGGAGAAGAACGTGCTCATCTTTGACCTGGGCGGCGGCACCTTCGACGTGTCCATCCTGACCATTGAGGACGGCATCTTCGAGGTGAAGTCCACGGCCGGCGACACCCATCTGGGCGGCGAGGACTTCGACAACCGCATGGTGAGCCACCTGGCGGAGGAGTTCAAGCGCAAGCACAAGAAGGACATTGGGCCCAACAAGCGGGCCGTGCGGCGGCTGCGCACCGCTTGCGAGCGCGCCAAGCGCACCCTGAGCTCGTCGACGCAGGCCAGCATCGAGATTGACTCGCTCTACGAGGGCGTGGACTTCTACACATCCATCACCCGCGCTCGCTTCGAGGAGCTCAACGCCGACCTCTTCCGCGGGACCCTGGAGCCGGTGGAGAAGGCGCTGCGCGACGCCAAGCTGGACAAGGGCCAGATACAAGAGATCGTGCTGGTGGGCGGCTCTACCCGCATCCCCAAGATCCAGAAGCTGTTGCAAGATTTCTTCAACGGCAAGGAGCTGAACAAGAGCATCAACCCCGACGAGGCGGTGGCTTACGGCGCCGCGGTGCAGGCGGCCATCCTCATCGGGGACAAGTCGGAGAACGTGCAAGACCTGCTGCTGCTCGACGTGACCCCGTTGTCGCTGGGCATCGAGACGGCCGGCGGCGTCATGACTCCACTCATCAAGAGGAACACCACCATCCCCACCAAGCAGACGCAGACCTTCACGACCTACTCGGACAACCAGAGCAGCGTGCTGGTGCAGGTGTACGAGGGCGAACGGGCCATGACCAAGGACAATAACCTGTTGGGCAAGTTCGACCTGACCGGGATTCCACCCGCGCCCCGCGGGGTCCCCCAGATCGAGGTCACCTTCGACATCGACGCCAATGGCATCCTCAACGTCACCGCCGCCGACAAGAGCACCGGTAAGGAAAACAAAATCACCATCACCAACGACAAGGGTCGTCTGAGCAAGGATGACATTGACCGGATGGTGCAGGAGGCGGAGAGGTACAAGTCGGAAGATGAGGCCAATCGCGACCGGGTTGCTGCCAAAAACGCGGTGGAGTCCTACACCTACAATATCAAGCAGACGGTGGAAGACGAAAAACTGAGGGGCAAGATGAGCGAGCAGGACAAAAACAAGATCCTCGACAAGTGTCAAGAGGTGATCAGCTGGCTCGACCGAAACCAGATGGCAGAGAAAGATGAGTATGAACACAAGCAGAAAGAGCTCGAGAGAGTGTGCAACCCCGTCATCAGCAAACTCTACCAAGGCGGCCCTGGCGGCGGCGGGTCCGGAGCCTCCGGGGGACCGACCATCGAGGAAGTGGACTAAACTCACACTCGAGTCCGCGTAAACCTCTTTTCTTTACTCTCTTTTTTTCTTTTGTTTTTGTTTCTTCTTTGAAATGTCATTGTGCCAAGTAGGAGATCTATTGTTGGAAGTCTTTAGCCCAGTGTATGCATATAAAAGGAAAGGTGCAACAACTTAGTTTAATTATAAAAGGTTAGTTCTAAAGTTGGATTTTTAAAATCACTCTTTGAGGTTTCTCTTTAATGCATTTTGTGTGTTTGCTGACTTGAGCATTTTTGGTTAGCTTAGTGTGTGCATGGAGATTTGTTTGAGATGAGAAACTTGATGCTTGCACACCTGTCCTATGGAAGATTAGGGCCATAAAAAGTATAGAAGCTTGAATTGTTTTATTTTTCCGTAGTACGTTAAGTGAACATTGCAGTAATGTTAAGGACAGGCATACTTTTTGCAAATAAATTGATAAATACAAACTTAAAGTAAAGCTGTAATCTCAAAATTATTGTCTTGGATTTCTTGGTTTTCCCTAACTTTACTGTTTTACCCATGTTGGTCTTTAAGATATTAGAATGATGTGAAATTTATCTAACCTAATCTTGTCTAATTCTCAGATGAGGTTCCTGCCTTCAATTACCAACAATTTAAGGGGAGAAGATCTGGGTAAACTTTTTTCTCCCCCTTTAATAAAGAAACCTGTACAGAAACTGAAGTGTCCCTGTGTGCCCAAGCTCCTAAAGCTTGCAGTAAGTGTGGAGATGAGAAGCCACCTGAATATTCCAGCAAGATACAAGCTGAGGTTAAGTATAGACTAATTCTTTCTCTAAACTAACCAAAGCTGAGCCATGAATTGTCTTCTAATAATAGCCAAAGGTAGGATGGAAACAAATTGCTTTCTGTGACATAGATGTGCCTGAGACAAGAGCCAGTAGGCAAGCTTTAAAGTAACTCAGTATTGAGTCCAAATTTACTTAAATTTGTTTTGACTTTTCCTATTATTGTGGAACAGCTCAACTTATGAACATGGCAAATACCATGCTAGGACACATTTTTCTCCAAGCAGTTATATAATTCCATGGGAGAAAGGGAGGTAATATTTAGATTTTTTTTTCTGATTTTTGAGGATCATAAAGTGATCACAACCTCTGCCTTAACTAGAATAGATTTCTTTTAAAAAAGACAAACCACAAGATAGTGTTTTATTAATATACGGTCTGTACATTTACCTACATACCTGGTTTGAGACTGTTGTGAATGGAAATATTGCAACTGTTTGGAGATGCACTAACCTAGGCTTAAGCTTTAAAATTCTCATCCTTGGGAAAGTGGGCTCATGTTTATTTTTATTTTTTCATGAAGTGACACTTACTTAGTTCTGATTTATTCTCTTTAATGGGAACTTCTGAGAAATTCAATAAAGCTGATTTTAAAATGCATAGTTAACCTTATGTTTTTAACACACATAGACATTTTGATATCTGTTTCCAAGTGATGTAAATTGGCATCACGTTGTTCATAAGATAGTAATGAATTATAGAAACAACATTTCTAATTAGTAGTGGGCCATTTTGTGTGAGATCAATTTTTAGAATAATACTAACAATTATGATTTAAAATTTAGAGAACAAATTAGCCTAAGAATATTGGGCTTTGGTAATGATTTTCTCACACAAGAGTTAACTTTTAATGTATATAAAAGATTTTTTTTTTTTTCTTTAGCAAGCCTCATTGGGGTGGGGGGTGAAGAAGCAATTGTGAAATTATTTAGAAATAAACTTTAAAGTTTTTAAAGGTAATTTATCTTTAGACTTTGAAGAGCTGAAGATGACTTGAGCTTTCCAGTGCTGGTGTTGTCATGTTGGTGGAAAGTTTTCAATGAGAAGGTATTAAAGCTATTTCATTTGACTACAGATACCAAAACCAAACCATACTCACTGCTGTCGAGTTGGATCCGACTCATAGCGACCCCTCCTTGGGTTTCTGAGGTGATGTCACTATAGAAGTAGATTGCCCACTCTTCCTTCCTGAGGAGTGCCTGGTGGGTTTGAACCACCAGCCTTCTGGTTAGCAGTCAAATGCCTTAGGCACTATGTTACCAGAGCTCCTTGACTACAGATAGTATCACATAAATATTTGACAAATTACCTTAGTATTTCAGATTCGGGTGTATGCTAGCCTTAGAGTGACTTTTAACATAAATGGGAGTTTTACCAAGATAATATCCATTGTATCAATCCTTTTTTAAGCTTTTATTTGTCGAAAACGTATATTCTTTGCTGTAACTTCAACATACAGTGGCATCCAAAGTGCAGTTTAGTGTAAGTTAGACCTAGATCTTAGAAGATAATAGTTTCTAAAGCATCAGAAAAATGGCTGATGTTACTCTCCTTGATCCTATGGCCTAGCCTGTGATGACTTGCTAGAACAGTATGCACAATCTACATAAAACAAAAAAACCAAACCCACTGCCATCTAGTCATTTCTGACTTATAGTGACCCTCTAGGGTTTTCAAGATTTCCATAGGGTTTCTAAGGCTGTAAATCTTTACAGAAGCAGATGCCTCATCATTCTTCTGTGGAGTGGCTGATAGCTTCAAACCACCAACCTTTTTGATTAGCAGCCAAATGCCTTAAACTGTACCACCAAAGCTCCTTTTCAATCTGCATAGATATTTCATTTTCTGTTATTTTGAAAAGTAATCACTTGGGGAGAAAGAAGGCAATATTTAGATAATTAGCTTTTGGCTTTCTTGAGGAGTGTTTTTTAAATTGTCTTCTCAAATTTACCTAGATGTGAATATTGCTAAGATAAAGCTGTCAAAGTGGCCATTCAGTGTCTCTAGGAGTCAGTTGAAACTGGTAACCCGGTAACTCTTGGGAACTGCATAGCAGATGTTAGATTAACCATGGTCAAATGACAATGGAAAAAGCACCTGATATAGGACTGGGCTAAATTACATTTTAAGGAATAATTAGCATCTCCAAAACTTGGAAGTTAGTAAATTAGGCTAGAGACTAGTAATCATAAATAAAGCAAATGCAGCCCATAGAGAATGCTAAGGAATTGAAAATGTACACCTTATCTGAATGTCTGATTAACATAATTCTTATTGTAAGGCAGTAAGTCTAGACACCTGTCAAAATAAGACATAACAGGCTCTTTACAATATTTGAACTGTCAGAAATTTCAAAACAAGCCCACTTTAAGCATTTTATACTATTGATACAATGATAGTATTGATAAAATGGAAAGCATTAAAACTTGCCTTGTACATTGTTGTTGTTTGCCGTCGGCCCCGACTCATAGTGACCCCTCGTTGGGTTTCCGAGGCAGTATCACTACAGAGGTAGGATTGCCCAACCTTCCTTCTGAGGAGTGGCTGGTGGGTTTGAACCGCCAGGCTTCTGGTGAGCAGTCAAGTGCCTTAGGCACTATGCTACCAGAGCCTTGTACATTAGGAATACTAATACTATTTACATCTTTAGACTTAACATATGTAATAGAGTATCATCTAGTCAATGTGTCAAGGACACCTAGTGAGAATTTAAATATTTACATGTGTATAATCTTTAACAGGCCCTCTGGATAAAATCAAAAGATGTTTTTTTGAATCTCAAATACTGGTTCTATGAGAAGGCATTAAAAATTGTGTTGTAAAGTATGCTTCCCTTAATAAATAACACTGGAATTAAATTGAAGATTTGAAAATTCTTAAATCCAAATATCACAGGATAATTGGTAAGAGAATATATATGTTTAGGTGAAGAAGCAACAGGAATATTCAATGCTTCCATTTATTTAATGTGTAAACACCTTAGGTGTGAGTAAACTGTTTTGAAGAACTAAAATTAGTACAGAATTTCATTCTTTGAAGAAAAATTTTGAGTCTTTAGAGAAAGCCCAGTGTTTTTTCTTGATATATCTCTGGGAATGGAAATATTTTAGGGTGTATGCAGTTTAATAGGGGAACATGAAAAGTTGAAACATCTTTCCCTTAGAAATCAAGAGCCGTGAGCCCTTTCCGTCACCTTGTCGGTGCAGATTAGATTGTTAAGTTTGTGAATTGAAAGTTTTGTGAAATAAGCAACCAAAAATGGAGTTGCTAATTCAAAATCTGAATTACTGTTTTCTTGCAGGTACGGTTAGGTTTTTTTAGTTAGGATTATAACGTAAATCTATGCAGTATGACTTTTTCATAGTGGAAACATGCATTGTATTCAGTTAAGTTATTGGGCTTAAAACCTGAGACTTGCAATTTAGTTCTATTTTTAGCTAATGAATATGCCCTCGAATGGAGTCTTAGGGTGGTGCAAACAAGTAAGTGCTCAACTATTAGTTGAAAGGTTGGTGGTTCAAACCCATGCAGAGGTGCCTCGAAGACAGGCCTGGCAATCTGCTTGTGAAAGGTCACAGCCTTGAAAACCCTGTGGAGCAGTTGTACTCTGCAGACATGGGGTTCCTATCAGTTGGAATTAATTAGCAACCAAAACAACGTAAGACCTCGAGGAGTTGGTCTTAATTAGGCAAATAAATCTTTCTGTAATGGAATACTTAGAATTACAGATATTTAGAAGGTAACTTTATCTCTCTAAGGAGCTCTTGGGGCACTGAGGTTAAGCCTTGGGCTGCTAACCAAAAGGTTGGTAGTTCGAACCTGCCAGAAGAAAGATGAAGCTATCTGCTTCCATAAAGATTTATAGCCTTGGAAATCCTATGGGGGTCACTATTAGTAGGAATCAGTTATCTCCCTACATTATAACATGAATTGTTTTTCTTTGTTTTGAAAAGAAGAAAAATTCTGTTTCCGGTTTAAGATGTGAGTTTTTAATACCATTTTTAAGAAGACCTAACTGAAAAGTCTAATCTAAGCAATCAGTTGGTCACTTTAAAAAATAAATAATGATTTAGAGCTGTAAGAGCCATCTTTTCTTTACACTATAATCAGAACTTTTTTTAGGGTATGGTGACAACAGAAGCATTAAAAAGTCCCTTTGAGTTAATGGGATTTCCTTTAAATATTATGTCCCTTTATGACATGGGAAATAACTACATAGGAAATAGTCTGCTACATGGGAGCTCTGGGAGCTCTGGTGGCACAGTGCCTAAGGCACTTGACTGCTAACCAGAAGGCTGGAGGTTCAAACCCACCAGCCACTCAGAGGGAAGGTTGGGCAATCTACTTCCGTGGTGATACTGCCTCAGAAACCCAAGGAGGGGTCTCTATGAGTCGGATCCGACTTGTTGGCAGTGAGTTTGGTTTTTTTGGTTCTACTACATGTGAAATAACTTGTCATGTAACTTACACAAGTCATTGTTTTGGGTTCTTAATAGCTTGTTTTTACCTTAGTGTTACATATTAGACAACCAGAAGTTAGACTGTGGTGAGTTATGTTAGATCTTAGGTTTTCTGTTACCACTTCTCCACTCATTGGGATAATCTGTAGGAGGTTGACTGACCCAGTGTATTTAATGAGATCTTCCTGATAATGATTGTAAGGTGACTGGATTCCATCTTCATTGCTTGGTCTTCTCTGTCCTTTCTGGAGCTGATGGCATATTTTATTTCTCCCAGCGTACCCACTTCTCCAAGTTATATTCACTGGTGAAAAGCTCTTGGTGGCTGGGATATTCTCACTCCTTTTCAAGTGATCTTGTAGTAAGCAGGCCTTGAGGCCCCACCCTCAACTTAGCACTGCTGGTGTGTAGGTGGGTTTCATTGTATCTGACCCAACCTGAAGAGCTACCAAAATTGACCCACGTGGAACATGAATTCAGGTGATGACAATTTTATACTACTGTAACCAGTGATTGTGTGTTAGTGTTTGTGTGGTTCAGTTAACACACAGCTATAATGAAAGGTTGAAGATCTGAATCCACCCAGATAACACCTTTCCTTTCTATTTCCAAAAAAATCAGCCCTTGAAAACCCTGTGGAAAGCTGTTCCACTCTGACACATGGGATCAACATGAGTCATGATTGTCAGCTGGTTTGAGTAATGGGTGATGGTATGTTACCAAGGAGTGAGACTGAGAGGGTGGTGCTGGTGGTGGAGATAGACAGTGGGATGGCTATTGCCATATTTTTAAAGTTTATTAAGGGGAATATACCAGCATGTACTCAGCTTAATGCCAGTTAAGCTGTAGGGATACAAAAGCAGAATGTTACTAAGCATTCCCAGTCATGTTGCATCATTGAATATTGCCTACATTGGAATTGGAAGGAAAAAAATACCAACCAGAATCTGCATTATCATGATTCAGTAGTAAGCAGGAGCTACAAGACACATAATTTGAAAACTGGAAATGTGTAAATGTAAAAATATCAATGGGTTACCCTTGGACACAGCAAGATTCTTTGGGCAACCCTAACATTAAGGCCAGTGCTTTACACACGTTAACCCCTGATAAGGATGTTGCCAGATGAGGAAGCAGGATCAAAAGTCAATATGTCTTCGGTTCCACAACTACTTAATTAGCAGAAACAAGTTTTGAAAATTTAACGTTCTCTTCCACTAGACAACGCTGTCTCCTGTCCTCCATCCTACTTGCCCGTCAACCCAGGTCCAACCTAGATTTAAACTTAACAGTGCTAATAAAGTTTGGAACAGATGGATCGTCCCTACAGAACTGAATCTAGTTATTCCAATTGAAACATAGTTAAGTGGTTTAATTTCACAGTTAGTGAACGTAAGTAAACTAAAGAATTAAGCCTTGGACAGCTTTACTATGGATAAGCCAATTTGCCACCTGTGGGCAAAGGTGGTAAGGAGGTGGATAGAGCAATAGGTGGTGCTCCACGGAGTGCAGGAGAACGTGGTGCGGCCGACGCCCCTCACGGTTGGTGACGGCGGCAGGGTTCCCTCCCGCCTCTCCTGGTGCTTCGGGAGGCGTTCCCAGGCGTCTGCGGGCGGTTGCCTCGCAATGCGATGAGGTGTTCAGGAGCACGCCATGTTTCGGCTCCCAGAGTTTTACTCGCGGAGGAAGAGGTGGGATGGTCCAACCGTTTACTCGCCGGATGTAAGTGCAGCGGCGGCGGCCTCAAACTGGCGGCGGGTGGGAGGCGCGGCGGGAGGCGCGGCGGGAGCCAGTGCTGGCTCCATCGTGGGACCGAGACGCCCTCGTTTGCCTCTACTGTGCCTCTAGTCCTCGCGCCGGTCTGATCGCCGCCTTAGTCCCTAAGGGGAGCGATGCCCCAACCGATTTGGGCGGTTTGCCTACAGGAACAAAACTGGAGAGGCGTACTCGGCACACAGAATTGAATTCTGGCTCACTACGTAAATACCTATATATTTACGAAAGAGCCCTCTTCCCACCTGTGATTGGTTCACTGCAAAATATCCCTACTGCCGAGGAAGCTGCCTAGCTCTGGGAGGGATGCAGAGCAACGAAAGCCTGGTAAATCGGTCTCTATCACTAAGTGAAATGAGTCAATTTGTTCCTTGCCTACTCCACCAGAAGGACGGGGTCATTGTTAGAGGGAACTTCTATTTAAAAACAAAAGCAAAACCAAACGTTTATGGCCAGTAGATAACGAGTCATAACCACCTCTATAGAAGGGCCCCATCGGGGTTTTCAAGGCTGTAAATCTGGTGGTTTTGAACCGCTGACCTTCCTTTTATCCTGCAGGCGCTTAACCACTGCACCACAAGGGCTCCTTCTCCGTCCTCTTTGGAAAACGTAACTCAGTGAATAGGTTAAAGCTGCTCTGTTGTTATGTGCCATCGAGTCGGACCTGACTCATAGCGACCCCTCCTTGGGTTTCTGAGGCAGTATCACTACGGAAGTAGAGTGCCCAACCTTCCTTTCGAGGAGCGGCTGGTGGATTTGAACCGCCAGCCTTCTGGTTAGCAGTCAAGTGCCTTAGGCACTATGCTACCAGAGCTCCCAAAGCTGCTCTAGGTATCAGTTTATTGTTTGACAAGCCCTAAGTCATCTATACATTGCTATGACCACCCTTGAGCCATGTGCAGAATCACTGTAAACAAGGTAAGCACCGGTTTACTTGTGCCTAAGAACAACAAGTGAAGTTTCTTTTCTTCCTACTGAAACTGCATTTAAAAATAACCGAAAAGAATAAAATCTTGGTTTCAAGTCTAAAAGAAAAACTTAAATTTCTACATCTTTATTGAATAGAGTTAAAGAATGACTACTAGGAATTATTGTTAAAGGTTCATTGTGACCTGTGGATTGTAAACTGAACTTTTAATTTTTTTTTGCTACAATCATTTCATTTTACAGCATTCGGGATTACAATTAGGGATGTGGTACTGGAAAGATGATACCAGAAGTCTTGAATTCAGAAGGTAAATTTTAACAAAACTTTATTATAGTTTTTTTTTTAATATTATAGTTTTGTTTTTATAAAAAATATATGTGCTTGAGGTTAAAAAAAAAAAAATTCAAGAAGTACAGAAGACTACAAAGAATAAAGTCAGTATCCACTGTGAATATTTACTCCCACCCAGAAAACCTCTCCACAAAAATAGAAGAGAAAGAAAAATTTTATTATTGAACCAGTAAACCAGAATACAGGAGCTCTGGTGGTGTAGAGCCTAAGGCATTTGACTGCTAACCAGAAGGCTGGCAGTTCAAATCCACCAGCCACTACTTGCAAGGAAGATTGAGAGATCTACTTTTGTAGTGATACCACCTTGGAAACCCAAGGAGGGGTTGCTATGAGTCGGATCCGACTGGACAGCAGTGAGTTTTTTTTAATCAACCAATCATACATTCATGTTTTCAAGATAAAATTGCTAATTTTCTAGCATGTTTAGCAGGATACCTGAAGTTATGCTCATCTTCTTCCAGAAAACTGGAAGGTAGGGAAGTGATCAGTGTTAGATTACCCAGTAAACAAGGTAAGCACAGGCTTCCTTGTGCTTATTTACTAATCTATAGTGAACAATTTCACATTTTTTCACCACATCAAGGATTCTGCTTCTAAGTATGGCTAGCGTCCGTCTCTTCCAATTTACACTGTTGTTATTATGTGCCCTCGAGTCAGACCTGACTCATAGCGACCCTTCCTTGGGTTTCTGAGGCAGTATCACTATGGAAGTAGATTGCCCCATCTTCCTTCCGAGGAGTGGCTGGTGGGTTTAAACCAACAGCCTTCTGGTTAGTAGTCAAGTGCTTTAAGCACTACACTACCAGAGCTCAAAATCAAAGCCTCCTTTCAGATTTACAATCACCAAGAAGCAAGGTAAGCACGGGTTTACTTGTGCTTACTTACTAATTGGTAGTGAACAGTTTCACATGTTTTTCACCACATCATGAAAAACATGTGACACTTCAGTACAGATTAGTAAACCCATGTTTAACTTACTTATTGGGTCATCTGCCCCACAGTGTGATCTTCCTTGAGAATTCTATTTCAAAAGAATAGCTCCCAGGTCTTTAGAACATCTTAGATTCACATACTTTTCAGAGACTGAGAAAGAATTAGCAGCTATTACAAATTTTCTGAAGTCAACATTGAAAGTAAAAGGTAAAAGGTGGGATGGGGTGTGGTTGACAGTGGATTTGATTGGTCCAATGTACCAGGCACTGTTCATCAGTTCACCAATCCTTAAAAATAGCTACATATTAATGCAGTTTTAGAGAGAAGACACAGATTTGGAAGGATTAAGCAATTTGAGGAAAACTAAGTGACTTGGCCAGACCTCATAGATGAAAAAACAAACTAACTATTCTGACTCATAGTGACCCCTTTGGGTTTCCCAGGTGGTAAATCTTTATGAGGGTAGATTGCCCCATTTTCCTTCCACTGAGTGGCTGGTGGATTTGAACCACCAGCCTTCTGGTTAGTAGTCAAATGCCTTAGGCACTATGCCACCAGAGCTCCTTACCTCATAGCTGTCATTGCCATTGAATTGGATCCAACTCATAGTGACCCCTCTTTGGGTTTCTGAGGCAGTATCACAATGGAAGTAGATTGCCCAGTTTTCCTTCTGAGGTAGGAGGTGGCTAATCCAAGTGTGTTTGATGCAGAATCCATGTTCTTAAATACTGTGTAAAATTGTCTCCTGGAGCTGTACAAATATAGTCTTATATTAAAGAGACCTGTGGTAGTTCGGTTTGTGTGTCAAATTGGCTGGGCCTGGTTGAGTGGCTGGGCAGCTGGTGGTAGTTAATTCCCATGAGGAGACTGGCAATCAACTCCATGGTGGGATCTACCACAAGCAGCTGGGTAGCTGCCTTTGGGTATGTGCTCTGCTTCCTGTATATAAGGAGAAGCCTTTGGGAATGGTCTCTAGCCTATGGCACGCTTGGACCCTGCATGTAGCCGTGTCATTGCTCAGCAGCCTGCTATGCTCTGCCGACCTTGGGACTTAAACTGGACTTAAGTCAATGGCCTGCCCTGTGGTAACATCAGGACTTTGCCTTTTTCCTTGTCAACCTTGGGGCTTCTCAGCCTCAGCAGCCAGTGGCTGTCTGAGTGAAGAAATGCCTCTAGCTCCAGTGGGCCGGGAGCAGGAGGCAGAGCTGGGCCCCAAGGTTGAGGGGCTTTCACCCAGCCCCTACAGACTGGCACTTTGAACTTGGACTTAAAGCCTCCAAATTGTAAGAATAAACTCCTGTTTGTTAAGGCCATCCGAATTGTGTATATTCTTGTCAGAGTGGCACTAGGTAACTGGAAAAGGACCATATTATACCCACTGCAATAAAAGATAAATTTTACGTGGTGAAATTTCTACACCTTGTGATCAAGTCGATTCCAACTCATAGTGACCTTGTAGAACAGAGTAGAACTGTCCCATAGGATTTCCAAGGCTGTAAATCTTTATGGGAACAGACTGCCACAATCATTTCTTGCGAAGTGGTTGGTGCACTACCAGGGTTCTAGTAAAATTGCTAGATTAGAAAAAACTCATTTTAATGTCCATTGAGAAAATGTTGAATCTGTTAATAGTACATAGCTGTTCACAATAGCCAAAAACTAGAAACAAGGAGATGAATGGGTAAACAAATACCCATCAATAGATAAATGGGTAAACAAAATGCAATATATACATGCAATGGATATTATTCAGCCATAAAGAGAAATGAAGTTCTAATGCTACACTAAGGATGAACCTTGAAAACATTATGCTAAGTGAAATAAATCAGTCACAAAAAGGACAAATATTCTATGATTGCAGTTATACAAAATAGTTAATGATAGACAAGTGCAGAGACATAAAAAGTTTATTGGTGGTTACTGGTGCTGGGGAGAAGGGGAAATAAGGAGTTGTTAGGGAGTGCTGAGTTTTTATTTGGGGTGATGAAAACCTGTGGAGGTAGATAAGGGTGATGGTTGCACAGCATGGTGAATGTAATTAATGTCATTGAATCATCTACTTAAAAATGCTTGACATTGCAGTTTCTTTGTTATTTATGTTTTACCAAAATAGTTAAAATGTATATATATATATGTTGTTGTTGTTGTTATGGGCCGTTGAGTCGAACCCAACTCATAGCGACCCCTCCTTGGGTTTCCGAGGCAGTATCACTACGAAAATAGATTGCCCCATCTTCCTTCCGAGGAGTGGCTGGTGGATTTGAACCGCCAGCCTTCTGGTTAGCAGTCAAGTGCCTTAGGCACTATGCTACCAGAGCTCCCGAACAAAACTGTTGTCAGGGGTTGCTGGGTGGACAAATGGTTAAGCACTCAACTACCAGCCAAAAGGTCAGCAGCTCTGACCCATCCAGAGGAACTGCAGTTGACTCAGTGGCAACAACAGTGACAGTCTGTTGGTGCACCTGTGTTGGTGCACCTGTTATGTGCCAAACATGTAAATACTTTTCTAATCCTTACAACAGCCATAGACAGTCAGCATTAATATTCCCATTTTATAGATGAATAACCAAGGATCAGAGAGATTAAAGATCCTAGATAGAGTGGAAGAATAATGTGGAACAACTGATAGAGCCTGGTGAGACCCCTGAGACTGTGGGCCCTAGTTGCCCTTCAGGTCTGGAATTGAACTTACTCCTGTGGCTACCAGCCAAACAGCAGGCATATAGGGTGAACATATCCATCAGGCAGATACACTCCTTAAAGCAATCAATCCTGGGAGAACAGAAGGCAGTGTTTCCACAGGGAGATAGCTTGAGGAGCAGGAATACACAGGAAAGGACACAGGGAAGAGGTAACTACAGGGAGGAAGTGGGAAGAGATCTGTTACACTGTAGGGAATTGTAGTCAATGTTATGAAATAAAATGTGTATGGACTGCAGTATGGAAAGTGAATTTGCTCTGTGAACTTTCACCCAAATCACAATTTAAAAAAAATAAAAGGATCAGGGTGGTTAAGCAGCTGAGCCAGTCACAGGGCCAATAAGTAGTGGGACTGACATTTTGAACCAAAATGATCCCAAAGCCCTTTCTATTATACACAGTCTCCGCCTACTAGAAGATGTTGTTGTGTGTCATTGAGTCGATCTTGACTCAGTGCACAAAGTAGAACTGCCCAATAGCTAGGCTGCAGTCTTTACAGGAGCAGTTCACCAAGTCTTTTCTCCTGTGGAGCTGCTGGGTGGGTTCAGATCACTTAACTTTTGGTTAGCAGCCGAGTGCTTAACCACTGCACCATCAAGTTTCCTTCCCTACTAGACGGTAAGCCTCATGATAGGAACTGTCTGATTCATCTTCATGTCTGGATCTTCTCAAAATAGGCTGCAGTGTTACTAAATTCACAAGTTCGTAGTGAGAGACTATTTGGAGCAGCACACAGACCAGACACTTGTAATGGCATGATCAACAGACATTTTATTACTTAAAGAATTAACAGGACAGTAGTGAGAACAGCACACATCATCATCAGCCTAGGTCCCCTGAAGTTAAACTCCTGTCCATGAGTGAAGTTAGATGCTAGTCAAGCATACCCAGTTCACTTCTTGGGAGGAGAATGCCTAAATTCCTCTTGCCCGGGATTAAATGTGAATTGGACAGCCATGTCTACATGCCTGTGAGCATGTACAGAAAGCAGGTAGGGGAAAGGGTGATGAAAGGAAGCAATCAAAGGGAAAGGGTGATGAAATGGAAAGCCCCTGTAGGCAGTGGGTATCATCGTGTGCTGCTGTTCAGGTTTTTCTAGATGTGGCTCCAGAGAACAGTCCTTCCTCCTAAGGTAGAGTTCTGGGATTCTTCAGAGGGCAGCCACTTCCCCCTGAAACACATACTTTATGTCCATTAGCAGCCATCATATCCAATAGCAGCTAGGGAGATAGTGACAGGGCGATTGTAATATAGTATACCTTAGCATCTGCAAAAAGGGCGTGGGGGCAGCATCTTCTGACCTTCTCTAACTTCACCAGAGGGAGACAGAATCACTATCAGCAGCACAAGGCTTATTCTTATGAGGCCAAATGTGACACTGCCCTCCAAACCTTTTTACCAATTCTGACACGAACTGTCCCTCCCACGGCATTCACTACTTCTCTACTGGGTTTGATAATTCTCGCAATGGCCATACGGACCTCACAGACAATACTCATGATTATAGAGGTTTATTAGGGAAGTAACAGGCTACAACTCAGGTTCAGGAATGCACTCAGGACACAGTTCTTCCATCAGGTCACTCTCCCCTCTGCTATGCCTTTGGGCACGCCTCCCTGGCCTTTAGCCACTGCCTGGCCTCTGCCCTGCTTCGGCAAGTGTTACAAAGCTCTTTCAGCTCTGCTGATAGGTACACCTAGGTGCACCCCACTCTGCCAGCAAGCCTCCTGCCCAAGGGCACTCAGCTTTCTCGCTCCGTGGGCCAGAAAGCCCACTGCTCTGTCTCGTGCCTCTTGGTTCCACTGCTGCTGTCTCTCAGTGCGGTGTTTCTCTGCTAAG